AGGAACACCTGGCTTCAGGCTGCCCCTTACCTTTAATGTAAATACGGAAGATGTCATCCTTCACATATGACATCGCCATCTTCAGTTCCTCGTCACTGGAAAAGGCAACCAAGTCCCCGTCCTCATCTAGATTGTTTAAAAGACAGCAAGTGAGCGCCCAGGGCTTCTCAGTTGGACACAAGCTGCTGAAAAGGGCTGAGACCAGTGCGAAAGGGGCACTTGCAGGGCTATAAACTGAAGCCCACTTGTCTGAGCCAGGGGAAAGTAGGGCTGAGGCCAAACTACCCATTCACTCTGCCACTGCCTGGAGAGTAAGTACTCCAACCTGGACCCTGGGCGCACACGAGAGGCAGAGTACATGTGTGCAGGCACAGCAATGGTAGCACCTGGCCACCTGCCACTCTGCCTCTGCACTAGCTGCCCCGTCAGAAAGGTGCTGTCTCCATCCACATCCAACCAGACCCAGCCCCCCCATCAACTGTGTGAGATCCCCATCTGTTGACCTGCTCCTCAAGGGTCCAGCCCCTCCAAAAGCCTTGGACCTCTTGTGCCTTAGGAGAGTAAAGTAGAATGCATCTGCCTGCTTCCTCCCCCAACAAAGCTAAAATTACGTATTTATATGTAGTCTCCAGTTTTTACATGTTGGCTCAAATGGTTTAAAGCATCACCATGCAAGACAAACCACACCATACATCTGCAGGCTGGTTCAGGTCTATGGATCACCAGATGCAACATCTACCATAAAAACAGGGGCTGTATCAAAAGGTGGAAACAACCCAAATGTCCATCAACTAATGCACAGCTCAGCAAAATGTGCTGTGTCCATAAAATTGAACCTTTCCCAGCCCCAGAAAGGAATGAAATACTGATACATACTACAACATAGGTGAACCTTGAAAACATTATGCTAAGTAAAAGAAACCAGTTACAATAGACTACATATTTTTACATGAAATGTTCAGAATAGGGAAATCCATAAACAAAGTAGATTAGTGGTAGTTTAGGGCTGGGGGTATGGGATGATGGGGATGGGAGGATAGCTAAAGCACAGAGTTTCTTTATAAGGTGATGGAAAGGTTCCAAGATGACTGTGATAACGGCTGCACAAATCTGTAAATATGCCAAAAACTGTACACTTTAAATGGATGAATTCTATAGTATGGGAACTGTAGCTCAATAAAACTTATTTTTAAAAAAGGTGGAAGAAATCCAAAAAAGAGGGGATATATGTGTAGGTATGCCTGGTTTACTTTGCTGTACAGCAGAAACTAACACAACATTGTAAAGCAACTACACTCCAGTAAAAATTTTAAAAATAAATAAACAACGATCTACTCTGAAAATAAATAAATTTTAAAATTTGGGGCCCTGGCAAGATGGCAGCAGTCCTGAGGAAGGTCCTAGCACGGACCCACCTACCGGCAGGCCCGCCTCCGTCCCAGTCACAACCTCCCCCAACCCCACCCCCAACAGCCACGAGTCTTGCCAGCGCAGCTAGAAACTGAGCTGGCTCCTGGGCTCTGTCCCTACACCAACACTTCTCAAGAACGCTTTCATCTGGTCCCTCTATCCACTGCCAATGGGATAACGTCTGGACTCCGCCTGGTCTTGGGCGTTCTGTGGTCTGTCCCCGACCTCCCCTCCCAGCCGCCGGCCCGGAACTCGCGGGCCAGGCCGCACAGCTGAGTCCTCCTCCCCAGCCAGCCCTTCCTCCTAGTCTGCCGGCCCAGGCTCTTCCGGGTTATTATCACAACCCCCACCTGGCACTGGCAGGCCCAGACTCGGCAGCAACAAGATGTCACTGTAACCTGAGTGCCCCTCTGACCACCCTGTGCCTGCTCGCGAGCCGGTGAGGACGCCCCGGTGCGCCTTCGCCAAGATCTGCAACATCATGGCGGGCGGGGGTGGGGGTGGGGGAGGAGGTCTCTTACGCCGCCAGGCCTGAGATCCGCCCGGAGAGCCGGGCAGCGCCTGACCCTACAAGGGCCGGTTGTAGTCACCACTTCTCGTCACCAGGATGGCACCCGAAGCCGAACTAGGGACCCACGCGGGCCGCCGTCCACCCAGCGAGCAGCCAGAGCAAACCCCCGCAGACGCCACCAGGCCCGACGAGAAAGTAGAGGCAGCCACCCCGCCGGCAGGGCAGGACTGCGTCACGACCCCGCGCCGCTGCCTTAGGGCGCCCGGCCCGCTCACCGCGGTAGTGAGCCTGGAAGCCGCCGGGCCGTAGTACAGGGAACAGGGCGGCCACCCGGCTCAGCAGCCGCTCGCAGGACCGCGGGCCAGCTGTGGACTCAGCTTCCGCTTCGGGCTCCGGGCTAAAACAGAAGCTGAAGCGGCGGATCTCGCGGGCTGCGTCCTCCTTGCCCAGAAGGTAGGCCTTCACGGTGAGCGACGCCATCGCCGGCAGTTGGGAAGCAGGAGTGGAGCCGTTGGGTAGCCGCTCAGGCGTGCGCCTTTTGTAGGGCACTCTGGGAGCCCCGCCCTCCCCACTTCCTGGAGGCGGGGTCTGAGCGCGCCCGGTCCAGCCCTTGCTGCCAGGCCGTCGCGCGCGAGCCACCCTGCGGGAGCCCCAGACTCATTACAGCCTCCTCGCCGCTGGGCCCCCTCATAGCCGCCCCCTTTCCTCATTGCCCCTAATGCATCAGGGACCCCAAGAGGCCGGCCCCGCAGTCCGACCTCTCGGTCTGGCGCCCGCCTCTGCACCTAGGGAAAGGGACCGGCCAGGGTCCCGCCCCAGATCCCTCGCAGGTCTGGTCCTGGCCGTGACTCAGCAGAGCAGAACCCAGGCCGCCCGGAGATGGCCAGTGCAGGAGGGAGGTGGACAACAGAGGCCGGAAGCCAGGAAGTTCCTAGGCGCTCAGCGGGCACCGCCACCTAGAACAAATTGGCTCCCGAGGTGCTGTCCTGACCTTGTCACTCTTGGCAGCCGACCCCATTCGAAGCCATCGGCTTTTCAGGTGGCAGCCCACTCCGCCATCCCCAGCATCCTCCATGACTGTCCCTTACTGAGTTGAGGGACAGACCCCCAACTGAAGTCTGAGCACCAGAGAGGAGCTCCCAGTTTGATAGGGGGTAGGGTTGAGAGGTGCCAGAAGGGCGCAGGATCTTCCCATCCCCACCTGACTGGAGGGCCTGCTAAGGCTTCCTGGAGCCTCAGTGGCCACCAAGTGTTCACTGCAGCCCAAGAGACTCCCCATTGGTGCCTGGACACCCACTAGTCAGCCGGTGGTGCCCAAGGGCCTGAGGGGTCTCAGGTCTGTTGGCCTCATGGGCAGCCCAGTACTTAGCTCAACAGCCCCCAGCTAGGGACCAAGAAACAGAGGCTTTGGGCCTCTGTTGCCCACCTCCCTCCTGCACTGGACATCTCTGGCTTTATGTGACAAAAGTGACCTGTTCAAATGGCCTGGGGGAAGGGGGTTGTTGCGGGTGGGTGTCTTAGAAGAAGGTAGGCAGGAAGGTTATGTCACCCTATGAATCCTCCCAGATACGGTTCTATGAGTAGAAAGTCAAACCTACTGAGTCAAATTCATGCTTTTTCATGGTAGGGTTTGTGGAAGCAGGTAAAACTTCAAGGGATGGGAAACCTGGAGACCACAGGAAAGTAGGTTGGATTTGGTTAGTCAGGTGCAAGGGGGACTTGGTTGTGGAAGCACAGCAGGGACCTGTCCACAGGTGTGGCTTGTCCTTCGCAGAGAGCTCCAGAACAGCCCTGTAGAGAGGACAGTCCCCTCTCAGGCTTCTCTCTGCATCCCTGCTGTAAGCCTGGGAAAGTGACCCTATCTGCCTGCTGCCCTACAGACAGGGTCAGGGGACAAAGAGGGAACAGCCTCCACTGGGCAGAGGCTGCAGTGGCCCACAGGTGCCCCCGTGTGACTCAGCAGCTTGGGAGCCACTCAGCCCTGGGCAGGCCAGGCCAAGAGCCCAGCTTCCTGACCCCAGAACTACATCATCCCCATCTGAGAGCATGGGGGGTGCACAAGGAAAGCCCTGTGGCTCTAGGGAACCTCAGGTTTCAGGAAGGACTCCAGGCACAGCCTCTGTCTAAACAGGCAGCTGAGACGGAGGCTGCCCCTAGGAACACATTTGCTTTCTTGCCTTTTGGCTCTGTTTGGGACCGTGGTGGGTTTGCAGAGAGGGATGGAAAGCTCAGGGACAAAGGGGTTGGAAGGAAATGGGGCCCTGGGAAGCAGGGAGACCCCTGCCCCTGGAGAGCCCAGGTTCTGGCCTTCCCAGCATGCCCCACTGCTGAGCCCTGCCCTCCTCCTGCCCTCCCCCAAGGCTTGCTAGAGGTAAACAAGGCTGCAGCTGGGGAACTCCCTTGCAGGGCCCTCTCCGCCTGCGCTTGTGGTCAGGTGGTCTGGCCGGCAGTGAGTCAGCATCCCATGACCAGCTGTCATAACCAGGGGATCCCCGGCCCCCTTGCTGCCACCCATCTCAATGACATCAGGCAGCCAGGCAGCTGAGGTGAGGAGCTGTTGCATGGGTCTCTTCAGGACGCAGGGGCCAAAAGAGCAAGTAGAGGCCAGGGTGGCAGGGAGCTGGCCACCAGACCCTGTCCCTATGATCCAAGGCCTCCTTCCCACATCTGATTTCCTTACCTTCCCAGGGCTGCAGGGAGCTCCCTGCCCACTGACACCCCTCCCTACCCTCCAGGACATAGCATGCACACTCCGCCAATGGGAAAGCTTGGTGCCTGAATCAGGAGACCCACTATCCACCAGCCCTGCCACTGTTGGGCAAATGATCAGCCTCTCAGTTTCCTCACCTTTGAAATGGAACTGGAGTGGGACGATCTGAGTCACCGTTCCCTGGTGTTGCCCCCTACGTGTGTTAGTTGTTGTCTGATTGCCTTTGTGGGTGTCAGCTGGGAGGGGGGGGTGGCAAGCAGGAGACTACAGCCAAGATTGAGGTGAAAGAGTGGGGAGCACAGAAGAGACCTTGAGTCAAAAGGTTCTGGAAGATGAGAGGAGCAGGGGTGCCTGGAAAGCCTTCTGGTTTTATTGCTCTCTGGTGTGTTGTAACCACCCCCTCAGTTCTCCTTTCCAAAAATAATCCTGATAACCACCAGGGTTCTGGGCCTTCCCCAATCAACAGAAATTGACTAGAGGCCAGACAAGAAATTCAGGCAAGCCTTTCTTAGGGCACCTGCTGCAGCAGGGGGTAGCAAAAACACTAACAGGTTCCCTTACTCTCTCTCTCTCTGGGGGGTGGGGGACAGTGAGCTTGTTTCTTATATGGGGTGAGGGTAGGGGCGTGTCCAGGGGCCAGGCCAGAGGGGTGGCTTAGGTGGTGTGCCCACCCCTCTGGTGGTGGTGCGTGTAGGGGGCATGTGCAGTACCCTGCTTTTGCTGCCAACACCCTGTTTTTGCTCCCGGCTCTTCAGAAGTGGCAGTTGGGGTTTTTTTGGTCTTTTTGTATCTTGTTGTCCATAATTTGCCCTAAATGCATATGTGAGCAGTTATTTTTAGTCCCTTATAGTTTCTTTGTGTTTCCTTGCTGAAGAAGTTTGTCCAGGTGCAAGCACTACAGCAAAGGGTCACAGGTCCCAGCCTGTCTCTGACAATGGTGTCCTGAAGTTCCCTTTAGTTTATTTTCTTTGGGGTGTGGAGCCAAGCCTAGAGGTAGGTGATGGGGCAGCCAGAGACAAGGCCACCACAGGTCACAGGCTGAGCTGCTCTGGGCCACCATTTAGATTGAAGATCACAGGTGATCAAGCCTCTCCCCACCCCAACCCCAGGCCCAAGGTTTGAGTTTGTTTCTCCATGGGGGAACAGTGTCATGGCTAGGGTGCCTTCAGGACACACTGCCCTAGGACCTGTCTGCTATTCTCTTCCTCTCCCTAAGGAGGAAGGCACACACCCTCTCCTTGGTTCCTAGCCAGTCAAATCATTCCACCTGGTGACTTTTTCCTGGCTCCTCCCCTTGCCTGGACCACTTTCCCCACTGCCTCCAGTCGCTGCTTCCAGTGGCAACCTCCCACTCTAAATGCCACCTTCTCAGTGCGGCCTTCCCTGAGCACCACCCCTCAGGAAAATCCCCAGGCACTGGACATCACCTCATTTTAGCCCTTCCTGCAAAAGCCCACAGCCCAGCCCAGAAGGGCCATGGGGGTGAGAGGGGGGCTTCTGAAAGAAAAGGAGCTCAAAGAGTCAGTGGTCCTGGGGAAATAAAGCTACGGAGGAGACATGGTTGGAGAGTTAGGTAATGCCAAGTTGTGGGCTACCTGGGAGCCCCGGGGCCCTCCTGCATGGCTGCTGGAAGGCACGATTGGCCTTTCTGGGCTGGGCTGCTCGCACTAGAAGGGGGAGGGGGGACACGACAGGCCCTGCGGGGGTCATCGAGGGGGCGCGGGCTGAGTTGGATGCTACCATGCTGTGCGCAGGGGGCCGTGGAGACGGCTCTCACCTAAGCTGAACCGGGAAAGGGAGGCCAAGGGAGGCCCAATGCCGGGCCACGTTTGTAAATACGTATCCGAAAGCCTGGCGCCCAAGATCAAAAGAAGCATGAGGGCTTCCCTGGTGGCGCAGTGGTTGAGAGTCTGCCTGCTAATGCAGGGGACACGGGTTCGAGCCCTGTCTGGGAGGTTTCCACATGCCACGGAGCAACTGGGCCCGTGGGCCACAACTACTGAGCCTGCGCGTCCGGAGCCTGTGCTCCGCAACAAGAGAGGCCCGCGCACCGCGATGAAGAGTGGCCCCGGCTTGCCACAACTAGAAAAAGCCCTCGCACAGAAACGAAGACCCAACACAGCAAAAATAATTAATTAATAAAACTCCTACCCCCAACATCTTAAAAAAATAATAATAATCATGAGATCAGACGGGTGGTGCCAGCGACCTCTCCCGTTGAGACCCCCCTCCTACCCTGCGCGCCTGCCCGGAAGGAACCTGCGGCCCGGAGCGGAAGCGGCCGGGGCTCGGGCCAAGGTGGGGGTGGCGGTGGGGGCGGGGGGCGCCGCGGGCCGCCTGGGGGAAGGCTGATCCGACCCCGGCAGCGTCCGCCAGCCAGCGCCTACCCCTCCAACATGTGTCCTTGGGCTCCGGGCGCCGGGCGGTGTCCTTGCCTGACTGAAAAGCCGGCAGGGGCTTCGGTTTTCCCGCACGGTAGGGAGCACATACCTCGCTCTATGCGTCAGATCCGCCGGTCAGAAGTGGTTTGGCCAGGCCGCCGGGTCGCAGGCCCCCTAAGACACTTAACGAAGTTAAGTAGAAACTGCCTGCCCCTGCCTGGGGTGGGGGGTATAGCGGGGCTCGGACGAGTGTCACGACTGGGATCCGAAAGCCCCGGCCCTCGCCGGCCTCTCCGGTCGGTGGAGACCTACCCCTGGGCGCATAGGGCCCGGGGCCCCCAAAGCAGAGGACCAGCCTGACTGCGCAAGGTTCTGGAAAAATCAAGGGAGGAGCCATGAGGTGTTGGGGGAGAGGAGCTGTGAGGAAACCGCACGGCGACCCCTGCCGGGAACTGGTGCCCCCAGCG